GCTGAGGCAGCAGGGAGGGCACAGAGAGGTTATCCCAGGGATCCAGGCCGTGCCTGGTGGTTTATCTGGGAAAGCAGCGGGTATCAGGAGAGGAGGGAGAGGCTGTTTGGGCAGGCAGGCTCCAACAATCGGGGCTCTGTGAGACGCAGGCAGTCGGGGCTGGCTCCTTCCCCTGCTCCTGACACAGCCTGGCATGGCTTTGCCTGCAAATCTGGCAGAAAACAAAATTTTGGAAAAGCAGAATTGCTCTCCTTGAGAGCCCTGGCTGGTGCAGATCCACAGCAGAGTGTGGGTTTTCCCACAGCCTCCATTTTCCAGGTTGTTTTCTGTTCCAACTGAGATTTCCACCCTTTTAATTTCTCCAAAATGCCAATTTCTCCCTGGGGATCGCTGGTCCAGTCAATCCACAGGGAATATCACCCAAATTTCCTGAAATTCCCCCGTTTTTTTTTCCCCAGAGAAACCTCTGGGGGTGCTGGGAGATGTGTGACCCTCTGTGCTTCGCCCTCCTGCACCTCCCATGGGAATGCTGGAGCTTTTCCCCAAGGATATTTCAGCAGAATTTGCTGGATTTTGGCAAACTGGGGTTGTTTTCTTCCTTCAAAATTTTCTCCCCCTGCACCAAATCCAGGTGGGGTTTTCTGGGAGGGGATGTGAGGTTGTCAGCACATCTCCTGCTGCTTCCAAAATTTAAAATAATGTGAGTTTTTCTGTTTCAAAATGGCGATTCGTTTTGTTAGGACTGGGGTTTTTAACTAAGAAAGCCACAAAATAAAATATGTAAAAAGAAAAAAAACCCAGAAAAGGGAGATACGAGAAATATTTTGTTTCATCCTGGACAATCTGGTTTTGACTCTGTAACACAGTCAGGCCAAAAAAAAAAAAAAATAACAAACCCTGGAAAAATGCAATTTTCACTGACCAATTCCAGCTAAATTTCAGGGTCTGGTTTGCAGGATAACCAAACCCTGCAGCTGCAAAATTAAAAAAGGATCTTTTCCAAAAGCAACATTTTCCCCCCCAAAAAAAGCACCAGCACCGTGGGAAGCTTCAGATGCCTCAGTGGGACCCCACCCAGGAACACCCCAAAATTTAGGGCTACCCAAATTTTGGGGGTTTGGGGATATTTTAGGCCGTGGTGCCACCTGCTGGCAAAGGCCCCATTTGTCCCCAAAATTGCCCATTTGTCCCCAAAAGTGTCCCCAAGGGCATTTCCAGCCCCTCCTGCAGGTGGAACAGGGGGCTCAAAGCACTTTAAAGCAGTTTTTAATGTGCTTTAAAGCCATTTGGAACATTTTTAATGTGCTTTAAAGCCATTTGAAACATTTTTAATGTGCTTTCAAGCCATTTGAAACACTTTGAAGCAGTTTTTAAAGCAAGAGGGTTTTTAGGAGAAAGGACAATTTCCCCCACCGCCACAAAATGTTTTCCCGCATGGATCCCTCCCCAAAAGAGCCCAGAGCAGCCACTGGGATTGAAAATCTGTAAATTTAATACTGATACAGGAGGGTTTTTCCTTTACACAGCAAAAATGAACAGGTGGAGGTCACTGGGATAGCAAAAAAACCCAAAAAACCCAAAAAAGCCAGGAGCCTACCAGGACTTAATAAAAACAGGGAAAATCCAAACACCAGCAGGGACTGGAGCCCTCCTGCCCCAGGGCTCCGCTGGCTTTGCTGTGACTTGATTTTCATTTTTTTTTATCCTAAAAAAATAATTAAAAAAAAGCTTTGCTCTGGGGGCTGCTGACCCTGATTCACCTCAGGCACCCCGAGGTTTCTGGGGTTGTTTTTATGCTCAGGAGCACCCAGGCAGCCCAAGGTGCTTCCTGTCCCATCTCCCTGGTGCTGCCACCCCACGAGTCCTGACCTGGGTCTGGCTCAGCTCTCTGGGGAGCTGGAAGGCACTTTGGGGGTCTCAGAAGGGATTGGGGTGAACCCAAAACAGGGGTGCACACCAGGGATGCTGCTGCTGCTGCCCCTGACTGGGCTCACCCCGAGCAGAGGCACCACAATACAAACGTTAAAAAAATCAGAAATTTTAAAAAAATCTGCTATTGGCACAAGTGGGGGTGAGCTCTACGTACCTCTAGCCGTGGGTGGGGCAGAGCTGCCCCAAATCTACCCTGATCTAGGCTGTCCCCAGGTGTCCCCCTGGTCCCTAAATCCCTGTGGGAGCCGGGCCTTGTCCCACTGTGCCAGCTCCTTTCTCCCGGTGATGCTGGAGGGAATCCCAAAACCTCTCCAGGCTGGGAAATGCACGGAGCCAAATCCTCCAAGGGGAGGAACGGGATGTGCTCAGGTGGGTGGGACATTTGGGATGATCCCTGTGGGATCAGGTGGCTTTGGTGCCCCCACATCCCGCTGGCATCAGAAGTCCGAGTCGGGCTCCAGCAGCT